GAGTAGTAGGAAGAATGTATTGTGTACACAAAGAAGAGGAGAATAGATGAGACTAGATTAACTCGGGATAGCCCGTACGCTCAGGAGATTGACCGGATCCCAAGTGCGGTTTTCAGCAGTAGCAGCAACGAGAACGTGCATTGTCTGGTTGCCTCAAAGATTATTGGCCGGAAAGACTGCATCGACCAAGGCGTGCATGCGTCCTATTCACCACTGAAAGAGGCTAGATTTTGCGGGACCTGATTGGCTGTTGCGGAAAGCGCCTTTAAGTGCAGACGTACGCGTTACCAGCGGTGGGCTTCGGACATGCTCGCCTATGTGGAGTGAGTCACCACACACAGTACCAACGCCCGTCAATCCCTGTAAGATACTTCTGGCAGCTTACCAGGCATTACGAGTGCAGTTAAGTCAACATAGTTGTAGGCAAGAGAACATACTGGTCCTGATCGCAACCTTTTTCATGCCAAACCAGAAAATTTGTGTTCGGGAAGGTTTATCAGACATCCCCATACATAGAGTATACATAGAGTATACGAGAAACGTAAACCAACAAGACCTCACGTCATACTTGATCACTGACCCACTTGAACACTGTACGCGCACAGACATCGGGTCGCCATTCCGATTGGGTGCTGGCAACTACCCATTAACGGCGGATAAGCCGCGCATGGTAAGTGCAGTTGGTTGACGAGGACTAGGTATGAGGGTGTGTGACAACAAACGTGGTCAATGCAGACAAGATCAATGGCCGCTTCCATCCAGACATTGCATCCCGAAGAGGTCAGTGAAAACTGCACTCATCAGTGCATCTTTCACAAATATTCAGGAGCCAACTGAACAACAGCATGTTCAAAACATATAAATACTGAGACGTCATACAGAAAAAGTCCTTCTACGATAGAAGCTTGTTTGCATTAGAAAGGTCAGGACATTAAATCAGTTGTTCCCGTGATCGCTTGTTCTGCTCGTATATATGGGATGCGGAGGTTTTCCGGTAAAGAAACGCCAGTGTGCAGGTAGCTTTATGTCATTCCACCAGCATGAGCAGGAATTTAGTGCCCTTTGCAGACCTTAACTGGTCTTCAGCTGTTTCTTGTGGCGACACCGTTAAACGCCAACCACCCAAGCATGTGGGCTAAACCAGCTTGGGATATCCCACACTTGATAATTCACTCCCCTCCCCCATCTCTATCCTTCTTTCCCACATTTAACAGTTATACGGCGAAAACGACATGTAATCTGGGATGCGGACCAGGCCGATCGCTCACAAATTGAATCAGACCTTTACCCACAGTAGAGCTTGAAAGCCGTCTGGGATTTCTTGGTTGCCTTATTTAGTGACCCTGCTGCTTACCTTCTCGCGGAGGAAGGTATTAAAATACGTATCCTGAATAAATGCGATGGATGTTTCTCTGAATATTGTCTGGTGGAGGCAATTGGTGCTGGCTACACTGCGACTCTAGTGTCGTCTTTGCTATCCAGGACGACAAGGTGGGACAACTGCCCTGTGTGCTGCAGGGTGTCAACAAACGAGGAGGCACTCTTCGCCTAATGACGAACTTTGGTGAGGCGAACAAAAGATTTTTTGAGGACCATACTGATGACTGTACCGAACGCTGAGGAACTCACAGTCATTGATAAATTCAGACCCCGAGTCACGCTAGATAATGCGGTCTCAATGAGACTGCTGGGACTCATATTCTCGGTTACAGTGGCGATACCAGCCTGCTTATGCTGTGAAGCAGTGGTTAACAACGTCTTCTGCTAACCTTAACCCT